AGTAGATTACACACAAAGTCTATTCACAGACGCGATGAGACTGGCGCGGCGCAATTGACGCGATTGACGCAAATTCGCGTCCAACGCCAAATCGCCCCAAACGCGAGAGTTGAAATTTTTCAACTTCAGTGAAATATTCGCGTTACGCCCCGGCGTGATAGCCTATCAGCGTTGAGATGTTGCTCCTGTCATCACTGACTTCCTGCCGTTGTTGAATCAGGAAATAAATACTGTAGCCGTCTGTGTTCACCCAGAGCTCTACGATCCCTCTTATCAATAGAGACCAAACTATGTGTATAAACCATATGGTACAAGCAATGAATAGACGCTGCCGTATTTACGTCTACATGACGTTATTCTGAGTGTTGGTGGAGCTGCTACAATGTTAGCATAGCCTAGCACCGATCCATCAGAGCTCCATTGAGAAGACAAGTAGCCTACAAATCGGCATCATTACGTAGTTATTTCGGAGTCCCTTTTTGTCGGTTTATTGCCGTTAAATCACAGCCAGATCAGTTTATTTAGTGTTCATACAGCTGTAGTAAACAGCGACCTGTGGCTTGCTAGACACAGTGAATACAGCTCGATAAAATCCACAGAGCTCCTCTGGACAATGTTATGAACCAGAGATGACGGCGTTTAGTTTCCCGGGATATCTGTGACTTCCACAACACGTACTAAGCAGAAATAGAGGTTATTTTTTCCATGGTTAATGGCGGACAGTTGAACGGCTTTCAGGGCGATAAGCCACGCTCCCTCTCCGGCGCATCCAGCGCGAATGAACACAAATAGTCCCCGGCGAGACCGGCGGCGCGAATGGCACGAAGAATGAACTCACGATGAATTCGCGTTTGGTGTGAACGCAGCATGAAACATGCTGAAACATGTTGTTCCTCTTGCACAGCAGTGGAACGTTTCACACACAGTCACACACTGAACACAGATAGTGAAGAGATAGAACTGCTGCTGTGTGAAGAGAACACTGCTGCTAACAACAACCTGATGTGTTTAAAGCGTTTACACCAAATGTTATTCACCTTTGTTCATATAGCAGCACTTTAAAAATAAAAGTGCACAATACACTACTTTTTAATTCATTATTGAACTCAACAATGAGATTAATCGTGATTAAGCATTGTAATCGTTGCCCAGCACTAATATATATATATATTTATATGTGTGAGTGTGTGTTTCTGACCTCGTGCAGACTGTTGTGGGTGGAGTTTAAAGTGAGGTCATCCATAGAGGTGATGAGGTGAGATGACATCACTCTCTCCTCCAGCTTGGCCTTCTGGGAACGCTGGCTGTCACCTAGCAACCAGAGCGCTGCCTGCTTCCTGTAAACACAAACACTGTGAGTGTGTATTACTGTGTACTAAAGTATTACTGTAGTACACAGTAATACACACAGACTGTGTATTACTGTATCTGAGCTCAATAATCAGGGACTCACTCCTCCAGGAAGTTCTGCTGTGGTCCAATCACAGAGCCCGGTCTACACACCCGGATCCAGGCGATGGCCTCACCTGCTGTGAAGCGGTAGTGTTTCATCAGGTAAGAGCCAATCAGAGAGCCTGTCCTGCCCAGACCAGCTGACACACACAGAGACAGAGACAAAGTTATCCTACAGGACAGGAAGTTATCCTGCAGGACAAGAAGTTATCCTGCAGGACAAGAAGTGGTAGTTCAGGACAGGAAGTCCTCACCCTTGCAGTGGACAGCCACAGCACCGTCCGTGCTCTCACAGATGTGCAGGAAGCGGCGTGTGATGATGTCACTGGGCGTGCTGCCGTCTAAGAAGAAGAGGTCGTAGTGGTCGAAGCCGGCGTCGGTGAAGCGTTTGGAGTCGTAGATCTTCTTGTTCAGACGGATGACGGTGGTCACGTCGTGTTTCCTGAAGTATGGGAAATACGCCTCAGGGGCGTGGAGAGGGTAACCTGTAGGGGGCGGAGCATCAACAGATGTTACACAACAACAAGACATGTCAGCTTGAACACGCCCCCCGATGTGTGATAATGATAATAATAATAATAATAATAATAATAATAATAATAATAATAATATCATCCTCCTCCTCCTCCTGTTGACAGATTAAAGGAGTCTCTCTGTTAACTCACCGTTCTCTATCTTAGTTTTAGGATGAGGACCGCTGAAGGCCACAAACTTCCCCGGGACGATCCAGTTCAGATCTCCGTTCTCAACCCGCTGAAACACAAACAGGCAGGTTCAAGTTCCACCAACACAAACGCGCAGGTTCAAGTCCCACCACCACAAACGCGCAGGTTCAAGTCCCGCCAACACAAACGCGCAGGTTCAAGTCCCGCCAACACAAACAGGCAGGTTCAAGTCCCGCCAACACAAACAGGCAGGTTCAAGTCCCGCCAACACAAAGACACAGGTTCAAGTCCCACCAACACAAATGCACAGGTTCAAGTCCCGCCAACACAAACGCACATGTTCAAGTCCTGCCAACACAAACTCGCAGGTTCAAGTCCCGCCAACACAAACACGCAGGTTCAAGTCCCGCCAACACAAACAAGCAGGTTCAAGTCCCAACAACACAAACACGCAGGTTCAAGTCCACCAACAGAGTAGAGAAAGTCTGCAGCTCATCGTCGACATTGGAAACATTACAGCTTCCATCAGGTCAGACTGATGGAGAGTCTCTGTTCTGGGGTTATAAATATTGTGAGTACTGGTAGTAGGGGAGGTACAGGTAGTACCTCTAGTACCTGTATCACCACCTATGTACTGTGATGTTTTACCTCGTAGTGTTCGTACTCGTCCACGTCAAACGTCTCAAAGTCAAAGAAGCCGTGCTGTAGAGCCTGAAACACAAACGCAAACACAAGGTTTGTGACGCTCAGGTCAGTTGATGATATCAGTTGACATCCAGCCAATCACAGCTCACCTTCCTGATGCCCTGCAGACAGTCGAGCACCGTGAGGTTGAAGGTGCAATTCCCAAAGGAAGCGTCCCTGAAGAGACACACAGAGACCAGCAGATCAACACACAGCTGATATCACATGATATTAATGTATTGATCTCTAGCTAAACCTGCCACACTTGCCACACAATGAAAAATTGTAATCGTTGCCCAGCACTAGTGTGTGTATGTAT